AAAATGTATGTTGCCTATGGGGGCCTTAATATAAACTGATCCTTTATTGAAACCCAAACAATCTTGATAACATATTCCACAGCATGTCTTAGTTTCTGTACTTTGCATTAGCTATTTTCATCAACTGGAAAATATGAAAGGGGTATTAAACCCAAAACCATTAAGGTAATATATTGCAGCTTACCAATCATTAGATGTAGAGGCTGCATTGTTTTCTTTATTTAGGCTTTTATCCTCTCTGTTATCACCTGGTGATCTGGCCAGTAATACACCTCCAGTATTAAAGTGCCTCCACTCTGGATAAATGAGAACAGGGGCAACTTTGGATGGCAGAATTGTCAGTCTAGGGGGAGGGAAGTGTTAGATCTACTAGCAGGCTTAACCACTTCAATACTGGGCACTTATACCCCCTTCCTGCCCAGGCCAATTTTCAGCTTTCAGTACTGTCGCATTTTGAATGACAATTGTGTGGTCATGCAACACTGTACTCATATGAAATTTTGATCATTATTTCACACAAAGAGCTTTCTTTTGGTGATATTTAATCATCACTGAGTTTTTTATTTTTAGCTAAATAAAGTGAAAAGAACACCTGAAACGTTTGAAAAAACAACAAACTTTTATTCGTTTCTGTTATAAAATTTTGCAAATAAATAACATTTCTTCATAAATTTAGGTCAAATTGTATTCTGCTACATTTCTTTGGTGAAAATAATAATAATTGCATTTGTATTTTTTTTTTCAAATGTTTACATTTTTTTTTTTCTTTATTACATTTTTTCTTTTATTTACTATTTTATTTTTCAGTACACTGTGACCAAAGCAATACAATGTTAGCATAGTACCATTGAACTACTCTGGGCAAGTAATCAGGATTTTTTTTTAAAACTCATTATGATTGCTAATACCAATGTATTTAATTGATATTTGCAATCATTTGTTGTGATTAACTGTGATTGGGCAAAGCTGATCACATGATACAGATGGGCTGTGATTGGCCCTGTCTGTATCATTTGACTGCCTTGACCAGTCACAGCTAACAACATAATTTTATACAATGGATGGCATGACAGGAAGCCATCCATTGTATACAATTGACATGTGATCTGCTGTGATTGGTCACAGCGGTCACATGACACTGGCAATGGGCGATATGTCATCAGATGTGTCCTGTGGCTCGCTTTGACAGGATGTCATATGACTCCCAGCCACAATGGCGAGTGTCCCGCCCGGCCATCAATCTGCTATAGGCCGGGCGGGAAGGTGCTAAATACACTAACACATTAACCAGAAACGATCTCTCCTGTGCTCTATAACCCAGAGCAAGGGTGGATGGATGGAACCAGAACTTGAAAAAACAAGGCTGGGGAAGCCCGACCAGTACTGCAAAGTGAAACAAAAAGAAAGCGCACCAAACTTGCGCGTTACCTCAGCAAACGAAAATTTTATTAAATTCAGAATAATACTCACAAACAACAAAGTAAATCAAGCATGTAAGTCCTCAAAGGAACTTTAGAAATGCGAAGCCTGTGCTAGTCCCATCATAGGGGTAGATTCTCAGAGTACAGCTGACACGTTTCGAAGGAGGTCCCTTCTTCATCAGAGCTGAGATGAAGAAGGGACTTCCTTCGAAGCGCGTCAGCCGTATATAAAATTTTGGTTTGCTGAGGTAATGCACAAGGTTGGTGCACTTTATTTTTGTTTTACTTTGCAGTACTAACACATTGAAGCCATACGCCAGCTCACACTGTAGTTGCACAAGCAGTTACAGCAACAGTTTGTATTTATTTTGGGAAAAAGATTTTATATGTGTAAATAAAATCCGATCATTGTAAGCACCCCTGTCAGTATCAGTTTGTCTCAACACTCCTAACTGAACCTGGGCTCTGCAGTTTGCAGTACGATTTTGATGGCCGGATGTGGTGTGATTTGTTCAAGTGTTGCAGGTGCAATTTTAATGCAAATTGTTTAAATATATAAGGCTGCACCAAAAATTGCACAGGACTCTTTTTAAAACTGCTCTGAAGGCCCACCGCATATATGTGAATGGCCACAGTATAAACCAATGGCTTTTCACATCTCATGCAATTCAATGCATTCAGAAATCACATATATGTGAACAGAGGCTGATACTATTGCAAGAGAGCTTGTTCTGTTAATAAACAATAGACTTACTGGGCAGATCACCAAATTAAAATAAAAGAAAGAAAAATAGGAAAACAAATGCAACCATCACACCTAAGAATTGGTAAGCTGCAATAAAATGTTTGCTTTTGGATTTAATACTGTTAATAATAATTCAGAGGTCACAAGACAAGAACAACAACATTAAAATATAGCGTATCAAGTAATCTCAGAAAATAAAACACAACATTTAATCAGGTCGAACAATGTGAAAATATCTAACAAATGACAAACCGGATCCCTAGAAATTTGTCTACGATGCTGATTTTACAAAATGAAAGATAGCAACCGGGCAATGACAAACACCAAAAAACACAAAGCGTTCAATTACAAAATCTCCAGACACAATGACAATCTGGAATTCTGCCCACAAATATTACTTAGTCTGCTGAATCCTAGTATAAGTCCTCTAGAATTTGGTTTGACATCTGTAAAATGGCAGGAATGCGTGTGCTTACCTTGAGCTTGTTCTCTTATAAAACAAACATGATCACAATTTCTGAAAACTGTTATCAAAGTTACAGTGCAGTGAAGGCCCATGGGTCCTGTATATTACAACTGTGTAACTAATTAAGGCTCTGGAGTGTTGTGTAATGTTAGATAAATGGGTAGAGGCAAGATCTTTGTTTAACAGTATAATGCAGCTTTTGTGTGGTTATACATTATGCATGTTTGGAATGAAATGTTTGGCTAGTAAGCTGTAGGGGTCTATATCATATATTTTCCTCATTTTGCTGGGAACATTGTCTTGATTGGCACAAACTTGTTTTAAGCAAACATGGAATACATTGTTAGCTTTTTATCATGGACCTTATGGACCCATTTCGAGAGCATATAAAAGTGGCACTTTAGTCAGAAAATGAAGTCCTGCTACATCACTTCAGGCTGGCCCTTTTTGCAGGCATAGCTATGTAAAACATTAAAAATACGTGAAAAAGAGTAAACAGGTGGCGCACACACCTAGTGCATTATCCAAGGTTTATTCAAAGGTATAAAAGACAAAAACATACTCACAGACGAAGCATGTATAAAATCTTTTGAATTAAGAAGATGGCCACAACGGCAACCAAGGTGTTCCAACTGTCAGTGCGGTCAAATGGCTTTGGCTGTCCATTTCTTGAAGTGCTGGAGAGTACATATGATCAGGGGCGGACTGACAACTCATGGGGCCCCCGGGCAATAGGGGATCATGGGGCCCCTGTGTCCTTGCCCAAACCCAAAAAATCCTATGAAAAAGCCAATGAAAGGTACCAGCGGCAATTAATGGGGCCCCCTACTGAGCCAGGGCCCTCGGGCAGTGCTCGAGTGCTCAAATTGTCAGTCCGCCCCTGCATACGATATTAAAAATACGTGCCTATACTGTTTAACCCCTTGGCGCCTGGGCCTCCTGGCCCTTTAAGGGTTCCAGAATCCGGGAGGTGGGCAGGGTTTTAGGGTCATGTGACTGCTGTGATTTGCTGTCATGGCGGTCACATGATCAGGAAAGGTCCCAATCGCAAAAGGAGATCAGGACCTTTCCGTGAGTACCGAACGCGTGTGCTGGGAGCGCTCTCAGCACATATTTTTTTTTAATAGAACGCAAATATGCGGTCACTCGGCGTCTAGGCCCATACGCTGGGAGGCCGCACATTTGCGTTCGGCCCGCACAAAGAGGTTAAAATCCTCCGTGCTAGGATTGTGGAGGCTGAGCTGCTGACAGTCTAAAGATTAAAGTGGAATTAAACCTATCAATTTAACAGCTTAAAAAAATGGTTACATTCCCGACATGCCAGAACTGCCACATTTGCTTGTGTTCTCAACCAAACTGTCAAACCATTAAGCCCTCATGCACATGGGACGTTTTGATAACTCTGGTACCATTAGCTGTGTAAAGTCATGTTAAAAACGTGAGTTTTTCAGCGTTTTAGCATTAGCGTTTAGCGGCGTTTTGCCATGATTAACAGCGTTTTCCCGCATTTTTCCGCGGTTGCGTTTTTTAGCATTTCTTTTAAAAAAGTCCAAAATCGCCAGTTTGCGGCATTTTACCACGGCGTTAGAGTGTTTTTACAGCTCCTCTAGGAACCCACTAGTTCTGGGTTTTTTTCCAGACAAAAAATGTCCCAGACTAAAAACGTTGATTACAATCTACTGTATGTGTGCATGAACACATAGGATAACATGCTGGGGGGTTTACTGACTGTAGAAAAAAATGCCAAAAACAGCAGCTGTAAAAACGTCCAATGTGCATGAGGACTAAATGACTGATGTTATAACTGATCAGATGTGCAGCACCCAGGGGCGGACTGACCATTTAGAAACTCGGGCACTGCCCGAGGGCCCAGGGTCAGTAGGGGGCCCCATGAGATGCCCCTGGTAAATTTTTCATAGGCTTTTTTGAGTTTGGGCAAGGACACAGGGGCCCATGATCCCCTATTGCCCGGGGGCTCCATGAGTTGTCAGTCCCCCCTGGCAGCACCATGGCAGTTGTAGATCAAAGAGATGGCAGCTTCCTTGGCTGAACAGGATAGGAGGGTTTAATTCTGCTTTAACTGCTACTCAGGGCTCTGGGCTTCAACAAAATGGTACCCTCCAGAAAGAAGAAACAGGAACAATGCTGGAGGCAATTTACAGCACACTGGTAGCAGAATTATTAATGTGTAATGTATGATCCTTGCTAAAGAACATTATTTTTAATTGATTGGTATGAGTGAAGTTCTGTTTTAGGGTTGGTTCACACTACAGAAATGCTGTCCAGATGCATTCTAGATAAGTTTCTGCATGCACATTTTTGACGTGTTCCGGTGCATTTTTGACTCGTTCTAGTGCGGTTTTGATACTTTCCGCTTCATTTTTCCCCTCTTTTTTTTCTGCAATTTAAATAAGGACATGTGCATTCCAGTGTGTTTTTGCTGTGTTTTGGTGCATTCCAGTGCATTCCGGTGTATTTTTTGATGCATGTTACCATGTTTCAGTACAGTTCTGTGTAGGAAAAATGCAGGATGTTCTACTTTTTTTTCTCTGCAACTGGAACGCACTGGAACTGCAAGCACTTTTATGAAGTATGACACTGACAACCATATAACCTACTTTCTGTGCATTTTGGATGCAGAAAAAAAGCACACTGAAACGCATGTAGCGTAAACCCTCGCCTTGAACCCATTCAGTTTAAAATAGAAGTGAAAGGCAAAACATATATTTATATATGTAAAAACAATTATAAACACCTTTTTCCCCCCCTATTTTTAAATGTGATCACATACCCTCTGTTATCAGCTGCTTAAGGAGCTTAGATAGCTAGGGGAGGAGAAACAGCAGCACGCTGATCTTCTCAGAGAATGGATGTGCAGGTGGGGTGCTTGTCAGGGTTGTCTTATCTCAATGAATAGGACTGTTCTGTCTCTCCAATCTAAGCATTGAAAGTGTGTTCTCTGTAACTTACAGTTGTGATGAGATAGTGATAACTCCAATCTTAGCTGAATAACACAGGCAGTGACTCGATCAGATGACACCTTGTAGAAGTTTATTCCATAAACTGAGAGAATCTTACAACAATGAACATCGGATAGGTCAAAAGATCATCATGTCCCATGAACACCCTTTGAAATGTCCAATTAGATAAACAGGCTATTCACCAAATACCAAGGTGACCTTGCATAAAATTAACATAGCAAAGAGTTCTTTTGATGTGTAAAGTGGTCTTCTCACTGGCCTGTCCAAGAATGAACAATATGTGTTTCAATGTCTTCAATATCTATCTATCTATCTATCTATCTATCTATCTATCTATCTATCTATCTATCTATCTATCTATCTATCTATCACACAATATACTATAGTCAGGACAAGTCTGATTATTAGAATTTTTTCCAGCACAACCAAAAAACTGACCATGCTGTGCTCTCATGCCTAGTGTAGTCAGTTTTTTAATAGGGAAGAAGAGGGACTGGCAGGAACACCAAAGATTTCATACAGTACATAGGAAGCAATACAATGAGATCAGATACTTTTTCATACAAGTACATAGTACAGCAGGAATATAAAATGTTGGGTTCACATATTGTTCAAGAGTTACATGTTTTATAGACACACATTTTTTATTTTTTGGAGGGTTTAGCATTCATATTTGCGATCCTTAGTGCTCTAAACTAAAATGGAAACTAAGGAATTTTTCACTGAAATGTAAAAAAACATTTAAAAGTTGACCAAATATTATATATATATATATATATATATATATATCTAAAAATTTCTTTTAATTTCCAATGCATGCATGCCAGGCACTGTGTAAGTACAACACTGTCATGAATTTATGACCTCTCATAGTGACTACACTCCTCCTATAACTACTTGTTGCCCACCTACTGTACACTTACTGTGAGTGAGTGGCATGGGCAGGCCAAGCAACGTATTGGTACATCGCAGGTGATGTCCACACTGGGGGGCACACTGATGGGCTCACCCTATTTGGACCTTGGCCAGAAGAAAATTTTAGCGACCGGGACCTCCTTGAATTTTAATTCAGTACCCTTGATCTACACTCTAAAGATCATGACCTGGAGATGACACAATCTCATAAATCACTGTGACCTATTAGAAATTTCTAATGTTAGTCTGATCACTGGTGCAGAAGAGATGCGGAAATTCTTCATCTTGCCTGGAGCAGACTGAAGACTAGGGCTAGATTCACACCTTTGCATTTTAGTCTTCATGCATTTCCAAACACATTATTCAATAAATGTTGATGTGTACATTGCACATGTATTGACACGTGGTTTTAATTCATTTTCATGCTAGCCAATAAAAAACAATTCTGCATGAAAAGGCATGTAAAACGCATCATAAATGCATTGTCATGTATTACCATTGACTTCTTTCAAAATACATGAAAAACGGAACCAAGCTATGGTCCAAACATGCTGCAGCGCAGGGCACGGATGTGAAAATCAGGCTTTGTCTATAACATCGCTTTTGATAACACATGCATTTTAGTGTGTTTCAGTGCATCCATTAAACTACAAATGTTTGAGTTACATTTTTTTTATTTTTTTATATTATTATTTATGGGGTTTTTTTTTTTCTACATACTGTCACCCTAGCAGTACAGTGTCACCAGTGACACTGTGCTACTTGTGGGGTGTGATGAAGATTTATTTTTTTTCTTTTACACTGATTGCTTTTACACCCATAAAGGCTGTAAAAGCAATCATTTCTCCTTCTCTCTGCCTGCATTCTTACAGCCATTGAGAACTACTGAGTGAGCTGTGATTGGTCACAGCTTGTCACATGGTACAAGGCTGTTGTGAATAGCCTTGTACCATGTGACTTCTGTGATCATTCACAGATTTCACACGTAGTAAGCAATGATGTCACAAGTGACATCTTGCTTACAACTCTGCATATGATCACTGATTGGCCAATCAGTGATCACATGATCCGGACCTCGCACAATCGGTGTTCCACTGTGTCCGGAGGACACAGCGGGCACGGGATCGAGGATCCGAGGGAGCGCGCACAACTAGAAAATGCGGGTGCCGTTTATGAACGGCAACCCGCCCCTAGAGTGACACCGTCCTGCCGTTTAAAAACAGTAGGCAGACGGCAAGTGGTTAAACACAACTAACTGCACCAGGTTATGTGTTTTGAGAGTCTGATTAGTATTTTTTTAAATTAATTTTTGGTTCTATAAAAATGTTTTTTGATTGTTTCTGAAGGGAGGTTTTTAGCACCGTTTAAAATCCCAATTACATTTATTTTGGTCTATTCTTCATATTCAGTATTTTTTTTTTTCGGATATAGCAGGAAAGAGTTAAAACCTCTAGAAGGTTTCTACTACCATCTGTTTCCCCAGTAAGGATATTTGCCCTTTATTCCTGGATGATTTTCTCACACTTTCTTTTCTGATAAGTGATAACACAAGAGTTCCAACCCTTCTCTGCTGTATTATGGCTCCATGCACATTGGCTTAAAAAAAGTGCTGCTTCTAGAGAAGTTTGGCATTTTGCATGCAACTAATGTTATCCTATGTGTCCATTCACGTTAGGAAAATCCTTCTGTTTTGCATTTTTGAGAGCATTTTTCTGGCAGAAAAGAAACACTAAACTCTCCTAAACGCTACTAAAATTTGTGTTTTTGTCTGCCAAGAGCACTGGGGTTTTTAAGCCATTGTGAATGGAGCCTAAAGGATTTTCTTACTCATTATATTCTTGCTTTATCCCTACTCCCTGCCCAAGGACTCTACTGCTTATAGCAGACACAGTAAATGAGGGGAAACCCTCCCAGTAGGAACATTAAAAATATTACATTATTTTAGTACAAAACTGGAGTTCCAATTTAACCTTTTTAAATTTAACTCCAACCCCTAATTGAAATACAATTTTTATTTACTTTGTCTAAACCATTAGGCCATCTGGCCATCCTATGATGGAGCTGTTCTGAAAATCAACTGTTTTCAGCACCAAAAACAATTGACCATAACCCTGCTTTATAACTAAAAAAAAAAAACTTTATGAAGCGGTTTGCTGATATGGGACCTCAAAGCCACTAGTGGGCAATTCATTACATGGATTGATATGACCTGCAATATTAATGGCCTCTCCTCCAATCATGACTTTCCTTTTGCACCTTTATGCAGAAAGAACATTGTGGGCCATCACAGGCTCTATAACACAGTTCTGGTCAGTGGAGAGCTGGATTATCAGCTCTGTAGACAACTGTTAAGCAATTTTGTGTTTCTCCAACATTAACAATTGAGTACTGCCGTGATACTTTTTTTATTTGCACTAACATACAATTTTGAGGACAAGCTTTCGGGGAATGTCCCCTTCTTCAGGTCTAGGCAGTACTGAAACAAAGATTTAGCAGAATGTTGGAAGAGATGTAGGGGATGGGAAAAAAAACAGAGAAAAGATACAACAAAAGCAAAGTCTGGGGGGGGGGGGACAACACTAGCAGAGGCAGTCATGCTTGAGCTGATAGTCATAAAACTTTTGGATATAATGATTGAGGAATCCCATGTCCATGTTTTTTTTTCTCATCCCCTACATCTCTTCCAACATTCTGCTAAATCTTTGTTTCAGTACTGCTTAGATCTGAAGAAGGGGACATTCCTCGAAAGCTTGTCCTCAAAATTATATGTTAGTGCAAATAAAAAAAGTATCACGGACAGTACTCAATTGTTCCTGTCGCAATGCACTACTACGGCTACAATCACCTCATCCCTACATTAACAAAAGTGATGGCAGGTGATAAGAATAAACTTCAGAGTATGTACTCCTGAAAAATCAATCCTTTTACTTTGAGGACAAGGGATCAATTCTTCTATGATCACAAAGGTACTCTAAAATGTCTGAAGAGCTCTGTAAGCGATGTCAAGATGTCAGAAACTCACACATATTTAATCCTGGTCACACAGCAGTTTTTTATACTGATAGATTATTGCCAGCCGTGTTCTGGTCTTTGCTTATGACATGTGTTGTGTATGGCTGCAATTACTAATTCATCTTTTACATGCATGCATGTGCTTCTATTTTCTTCAGAGGTAAGCCGTAATACTGTATTTCTACAGTAAAAGGGATGTATGACCAGTCTTACCTCCATCACAAATTGTGCGGCACCCTTTTCTCCCTCTGAATGGTACCACCAACCCACATATGGAAACTACTTTGCCAATCAAGTTTGGTTTGGGGCTTTGCCAGAAATAGTTAAAGAAGTATTACATGCTTATTTTTTAAATTTGTGCAAAAACAACAGACTAGTGGTTCAAACCCCTTACATACACCCAGTGAAGTGACTAGCCTCAGGTGATACACTGAGATGAAAAAAATCCTCATACATAAATTGTGCCTGTTTATCTGTAGTCTTCTCTTCTCTGCATCTGTTCAAAGTCCAGAATTTATACAGTGTGTCTGAGTTGTCAGAAAAAAGGGGGTGGAGAGATGAAATTACACTCTGCAGAGTTCAGTAGGGAGAACTCTGAGAGCTAGCTAACGAACAAAAAAGCAACCTCCTGCGCTTGAAAGTGGTTTTCAGATGTTGCAGGCTCTTATCACCACGCTTTGCTGCCCACTCAAGACTGAGGTATTTGGGACACACTTCAACAATAAAACAAAGAGAAGGTGCAGCAGCCTAGTGCACTATCTTCAAATACTGTATCTTT